GCGCATCTTGGGTATTCGTGCTGGCCGTGGGCCCCGCCCGCCACAGCCGCCCCGCCACACTCATCACCGCCACCGCCACCCCCACCACCACGCTCTGCTTTCTACCCTGCTTTCTTTCTTCCTCTCCCCCACGCAGGCGTGTGAACTACGAGGACCCCAACTACAACGTGGCCCTGCCGGTGCTCACCATCCACGGCAACCACGATGACCCGGCGGGGGCGGAGAACCTGAGCGCCGTCGACATCATGTCCACCTGCCGCCTGCTCAACTACTTTGGCAAGGTGCGGGGGCAGCTGCCCAAGCGGGGGCAGCCCTTGAGGCGGCGCCGCAGGGCGGTTGCAGGGCGGCTCACACGGCAGGAGGGGCAGGGAGGGGCTGTGAGCGCGCGGGGACGTGGCCGGGGCGCAGGCGGGGCACCCTGGCTCGCCCGTCCACACACACCCGCCTGCCTGGCCCGGCCTTGCCGGCTGCCTGCAGGCGTCGATCGAGGGGCAGGGGGTGGGCAAGCTGCGGGTGGCGCCTGTGCTGCTGCGCAAGGGCGGCACGCACGTGGCGCTGTACGGGCTGGGCAACCTGCGGGACGAGCGCCTGTGCCGCCTCTTCCAGACCCCCGGCTGCGTGGAGTGGTGAGCCGCCGCACGGCCCGCAATGCACCCACTGGCGCAGGCACCTCGCTCTCTCCCCAACGCTGCCTGCGCCTGCTGCTGCGACCGGCTGAGCGGCGCGGGGCGCTGGCGGCGCTGGCTGCAGGGCCCGCCCCGCCGACACTCCCGAGGTCGGAAAGGACGACTGGTTCAACGTCTTTGTGCTGCACCAGAACCGGGTGGCGCACACGCAGGTGGGAGGGGCGGGGCGCGGAGGGTGCGTGCGGTGGCCCTGCCGAGAGGCCCTCCGCTGCGGCCCGCCTCTGGCCCTTGGCCCTCCCTCGCTCTCGCCACCCACCCAAGCCACACCCGCCGCTCCCTGCCCCGCCCCGCCCCGCCCCTCCCCGCCCTGCCCTGCCCCGCCCCGCCCCGCCCTGCTGCAGACTGCCAAGAACTGCCTGAAGGAGGGCGCGCTGGCTCGCTTCCTGGACCTGGTGGTGTGGGGCCACGAGCACGAGTGCCTGGCGGAGCCGTGGGAGAGCGTGGAGGGGCGCTTCCACGTCGTGCAGCCGGGCAGCTCGGGTGGGGCGGCTGCGGGAGGGAGGTGGCGGAGGAGGTGGTGGAGGCGGCAGAGGTGGTGGAGGGGTGGCGCGGGTCGGTGGCTGGTGGCGAGGCCAGGTGGCGGTGCAGGGCACAGCGAGGCTGCCGCGGCCCCAGGGGCTTGCGTGCATGTTGGCTGGCTGCCGCTGCTGGTGCCGCGATGCTAGCCAAGCGCCCGACGGCCAGCGATGGATGCCGTGCCAAGACCGCCTCCCTCCCTGCCTTGGCCCCGCCGCCGCGCCTGCCTGCCTGCCGCAGTGGCCACCGCGCTGTCTGAAGGGGAGTCCAGGCGCAAGCACTGCGTGATGGTGGAGATTGTGGGGCAGCAGGTGGGAGCCCGCCTGCGCTCCCGTCGTGCCACTTCTGTTGTGCCAGTCTGCTTCCCAATGTATGTCTCCAGCGATCCCCATCGTCGCGGCGCAGCACGGCAGCCGTGGCTTGCTGCCC